CAGAACAGAAACCCCCAAAAAATCCTCCTCTGAAAAAACAATCACGTTTGCAGTCAGTCACCTAACATTAGTTAAAAAGCAACAGGAATCTAGTTATGGTGATCAATACATGCATCTAAAGTGAAAACAGTTACCAAATCTTGAAGTAATTATCTCTGCATTTTTCTAACTGGATAATCATAGTTTAAAAAATAAAACCTCCAAAAACAGAAGCAAATTATTGTTGGTTTAGGAACACCTTTAAGAGCTATGTTGTCCTATGCTGTAGGATTCTAAAGCCAGAAGGTACCTTTGAGTCAGAACATGAGCAAGAGCTGTACTCTTACAGAGCCAACAAAGACAAGGCCAGCATCCCTCCTGCACCGGCACCATGCTAGGCACTAGGAAGACAACTGTAACTGAGATAAGCTCTGCAACGGTAGGTGGCCAGTCAGAGGCAGTTCATTTAATTAATCTCTCTGGGCTTTACTTCCTTAATCTGTAAAATGAGAAAGTTCAACTAGCTCTCTAAGGTCCTCACACTCTAAATATCCAATGATTCTCTAATGAGTATAAAATGGATTTTTATTTGACAATATCATTACAACTTCCTGTTTCTATTTCTTTTTTATCATGCAGATGTGATTTCATTTCAAATTTTTAATATATTGATAAAAGTAAAATACGGACACATAGTCAGTGTTTTAAATTACCTTCCCAGTTCTTAACAACCACCATAATCAGCTATGGACTTCTGCCATCACTGCAACCTGAGTGATACCCAAATTGAAATAAATCATTCTGTCTTTGTATTTTTTGTAGAAAAACCAAGTGATTATTGATTTTCAATTTCTTTTCTATTTTAAAATCATTCACCTTTGAATGTCAACAATTTTTTTAAGACTAAATAAAGTTTTATAGATAAAGGGGAAAATTGTATCTCCTGAACTAATGAAACTATAGTGGTTCTGGAAATCTGTCTAGAAAAATGCCAAATTCTGAATTTCCAATCGCATGAAAAGAATGTATTTTGTTTAAGATACACAAATATGACCACATGGGTGACCAAGACAACTGAAAGGGTCCCATAGAGCCAATATATTCCTGACATCATCTTAGTATCACCTAAGATGTTCCTTCTCCACCCTTTTCGGTGAATTTAGCTACGTGACTATGTGCTTACTACTTATATGTAGAAATCATTTGCTGAAAAAGAATCACTGTCTTACAAAGTTGAAGTTTTAAGAGCCATTTGCTCAGACCTGACTAAACATTTTTATTCTTGTAATGCCATATTTATATTAGATGTTTCTAAGATGGCCATGGTGTCTGCTATCAAACCCAAAAGGTTGTATTTAGTTAATGAAAGATGAAAGATATCTATTACTTATAAGTTTTTCTTAAAAATCAAATGTGAATATTTGTTTACCTATAGAACTCTCTATGAGAGACAGTACACTCCCTGAGGGAAAGTACTGCCTTTTATTGTTTTAACCATGGAAAGCTTGCCAAGGTTTGCTGAATCAAAATTAACTAAAGGCATAGTGACTGTGTGGCAAGCAAACTTTTTCAAGCATGTGGAACACAATGCTGTAATATTAGGTTTGAGAGAACTACACTAACTCGGCACTTACATTGCTTTTATGGGTTACACAGCAGGCACGCAGAAGCATTTACAGTGTATTCTCTCATAACAAAATATTCCTGCTATTTTGACCTAACTGCTTAAAAACTATAACGTTACTGACTTCGCATCTGTATGAAGAAACGGTTGTAATATTTCCTTGATGTTACTGTATTATAAAGGAACTCTTCATGGTATTCATTTTAACTCAATAAAAGTAAGGCTAACCTAAAAGACTCATTATGAAAAAAGTTTGGGAAATGTTTCTGTAAGTCGAACTGATGAAAAACTAGACCAAATACTGGCGAATCTATGAAAGTACTATTTTAAAACTAAGTTACTGAATACATTGTTATAAATTTGACTTCTGTATTTTCAACTTGGGAAAAAAAGTTAATTATTTCCTCGAAAGAGGAAAATAATATTTGGGTTTTTAAATATCACCTCTACAACCATTCCATCATTCCTCTATTCTGCCTTCTATGTTAAGACATACAAAAGAAAGTAATTTTTTTAAAAAAACTAATTTAAAACTAAGGCCATTGATTAAATGAATATAACAATTTAAAATTCATATACCAGTCTTTTAAAAGTATAATTTATTTCTTATCTGAAAACTCATTTGAATCTCGAAAGCATAAACCCAGGATACAATTCATCATGGTTCAATTTAGTGACTCGCACAGGAGAAAAAATTAGAAAATATAAAGAGAATAAAACCCACAGTGTTAGAAAACAATCCCAATTCTTGAGTGCCAAGATGAGGAAATTCACCTGTTACAAGCCTGACAAAAATTCATTATGTCCTTTTATTAGCAGATTACCAAAAAAGAGAAAATGCCAGATTTCCACTATTGGGCAAAATAAGAAAATTTACCTTCCGAAATTTGCTAGCAGCTCAAGCCCTTACCCATTTCCAAATTATTTTACTTTATAACTTTTTTCCACAAGACAGATTTTTTCAGGGAAAATAAACTTTTCCTGAGCAAACTGGAAGACATAAAATGTCTCCTACTTATCACCTAGAAAGGCAAACCAAGTCCTACTCCATGCCCCAAGCATCTAGCTTTCAGCCTCTTTATTATCATTGTCAATGAATGGGCCCCAGTCAAATGAAAGCTGCCATTTTAGGGTAAAGACTGGAGGGCTTCTGTTGTGCAACAGCAAGACAAAAACACTGCGCGACAGATGTACTCTGGGGGCTGGGAGAAGGATTCAACTTCGTAAAATCACTGCTCAAGTTATTTCTGAAATAGGAATTACCTAGTACTTAGACATTACTGCAATCTAAACGTAATTATAACTGGGATAAATCAGGTACCAATGCTGCTAAGGTCACAGTCACTAAGATATTTTTTGACATCGTTAGACAAGATCAGTGAAGAAATGAAGACACGTATTTTGTTTCCTCTTTGCTACGTATACTGAGTACTCCCTCCCTTACCGAAAGAGAATTGGGGTGAAATAACACTCAACCCTTTAGAAAGGTATCGCCCACTGCAAACACGGCTTAAATTAAAATTTTTAGAAAATAAAAAATTAGGGCCTCACGAAATCCTTTAAAAATAAATTAAGACATGTAATGTATTCCAGAAATTAAGCCCCCAAAAGAGACACTTTTTAAGATAACTTATTTAAATCGATTGCTAGATAATATACAATGGGAAACTAAAAAGTATACTTAGCAAGTGGAGCGCTGGATAGTGTATCTAATTCTAGCAATTCAAAAGGAAACTCTCTCCATGTGGGTTGCTACTTTTCTTTTGTCCATTGTCTGTTCAGAAGAGGGGGAAAAAAACTAGTTTAAACCAAGGCGTGAACAGTCTCTAAAAGTGACCTCCAGGAAAAGAGTCCGACCCATAGCAGGAGCACTCTCCGCGCCGCTCGCTCCACGGGGGCGCTCACAAAGCGGGCGGCCGGCCGGGAGTTTGGGGTGCGCTCCCACGGCTCCGGGCTCCTCGAGGCAGAGCCATCCGGAGAAAGGCGGCTCGGTAATGATGGCTGCTCGGGGCCGGCGGCTCCTTCCCCAGAGCCTCCCGACCAGCGCCCCCACCCCCGCCCGGGATCCGCCGCCACCCCCCTCCCCCGCGACCTCGCCAGCCCCGCGCCGCCGCGCCCGCCCAGCACCGCAGCCCAGCCGGTGCCCGCGCCCCCGCCCGAGCCCCGCGCCCCCAGCGAGCCCAATCCCCGGTGCGAACCAAACAAACAACGCGTTCCCCACCGCCCTCCTTTCCTCTCCCCGCTGACCGCTTGGCCTCCAGCCACCTCGGCCGTTCACGCTCCAAGCCGCGGCTCTCCGCGAGGGCAGAGCGCACCCGGGTCACCTCGGGGGCCACCTGGTGACCCCCCCCACCGGCGCTGACCCCCGGCGGGCTGGGGGGCGGGGGAGCCGAGTTGCGTTGGAGGTTAAAGTCGCTATTATGCAGCTGCCGCCGCCGGCGGCCCGGCCAGCTCGGCAAGGTGGGGTCCCCTCCTTGCCGCGCCTCCCGGCGCTCGCCCCGGCCCCGCTCCCTTTCTTCTCCTCCTCGCGCACTTAGGAGCCGCCGGGGAGCCCCAAGAGCCCCCAACTCCGGGCTCGCAACTCCGCGCCCGCGCCCGGCACTGGCTGGGCTCGGGACGCCTCCCGCGCCGCGTGTTCGCGCTGCCCCCGCCCCACGCGGCGCCCCGCGCACTTTCCCCGCCGCCGACCCACCACGGTCGGTGGCGGTCCCCGCGCGGGCTGGCGCCGCCGCGCCGGGAGGGACGCACTTTGTTCGCGCCGGTGCGGCCGCCGCTCCCGGCAAGCGCGGCGTGGTCGGTCCGGAGCGGGGGACGGGGGCGGGAGGCGGGGGTCGCCGCCGTCCCCGAGCCGCCGCCGCCGCTGCTCAGCCGCCCCGCGCCCGCGCGCCCATCGCCCGCTCGCACTTGAGTTGGAGCCCAACTTTTCCTCCTTCCTTTTTCTCTCGAATGGAGCCGGCAACTCGTGCTCGGCGCCGGCGGGAGGAAACGCGCTCGCGCTCCCCCGCGCGCAGACACGCTCCCTCCTGTCCCCCGTACCCCCCCCCACGCCGGCAGCACAACAAAAAGCCATTTACATGCGAGGAAGTGACCCTCGGCCACACCGCGCGCCCCCGCCGCCGCCGGCCCCGCGGACGCAGGCAAAAGTTGGGGCGCCGGGCGGCGCTCGGGGCGCGGGTTCGGGCCCCGCGGGCGGCGACGCCGGCGACACCGCGCGGGCGGCGCTGCGCTCCTGCGCTGGCCCCGGCCCCCTCCCGCCCTCGCCCCTCGCCCCTAGCCCCGCACACGCCCAACTCCTCGATCCCAACTCCTCGCGCGGCCCCGGCCCCGGCCCGTAGCGATTTCCTGCCGCCGCCGCCGCCGCCCCTCCCGGGGGCGCAGGGTGAACTCTCGCGCTTACCGGGTCGGTCGGGCTCCTCCGCTGCCTAGTGCCGAGGGGAAAACAAAACGCAGAGCGGGCTCCGGAGTTGGCTCGGCAGCTGCGGCCAGGGGGCTGAATCCACGGGCACGGAGTTGGCCGGGGGCGAACGGGGGCTCTGGTGAGTTTCAGGGTCTCCGGGTCCCCGGGCCGCCTCCTCCGCGGCGCTCCTTTGTGTAATTTCACTCGATTCAAGTTTAATCCGATAGTTCCCGAGCACGAGCGCGTCCGCACCACCACGGCTCAACCCCCGCGCCGCCGCCGCTGCCGCCGCCGCTGCCGCCGCCGCCGCCGCCGCGGCCCCAGCACGCCAGCGCCTGCGCGCGTCCGGCACGCCGCGCGCACCCGAGACCGCGGGGCCGCGCGCGCCCGCCGCCGGCTCCCTCCGGGCCGGGCCGCGCCGCGCCCGCGCCCGCGCGCCGCCACCTGACGTCAGGCGCGCCTGGCATAATTTATGCAAGAATTCGGCCGGGGTGGCGGAGGCCGAGGGAGAGGCCGAGAGAAAGGGGGCGGCGCGGAGCTGCAGGGCCGCGGGCCGCGGGCCGCAAGGGCGGGCCGGGCGCCACTTCCCGTCCCCGGGCGGGCGCCGGCGCTGCAGGCGGGTCCGCCGGCCGGTGCGCCGCTGCCCCGCAGCCTTCCTTGCCCAGCTGCTCGGAGCGCTCGGCCGCGGAGCCCAGGCGCGGGCAGGAGGGGCTGCTGCCACGTCTCCCGCGCAGCACCTTCCCGGAGCCGGGTGCGCCGCCCCGGGGCAGGAAGCGGGGCTCCTCGCCGGCTGCGACCCTCCTGGCCGCGGCGAAGGGTTTCCAACGCTGCGCGGCCGGCGGCGGCCGGAGGTGTCTGGCCGTCTCTGCAGTAATTATCCTTCAACTTGAAATTATTTTCCCACATGAAATTATTCGGAATGGACACGTTCCATTCCAGATGGGTTCGTGCCCGCTTCTCCACATCGCTTTTCCCATCTCTTCGTGGATAGGACACTGGATCCACTACTTAATCAAAAAGTTTAACTAGATGGCATTGATTTTGTCAAATTTGTTACCATACCAAAAAAGAGGGAAAGCAGAGAGCGCAATGATTATGAAACAAAGAAATAGGATGCATGCTCATTATTAAACGTGTCGGGACTAGAATGTTTTACTCATTCTTTGGCCAAAATGGCACTTGTATATGATTGCATAGTCTTAAAAATCCGAGCCTCTTATTCCATTTCTCTTCCCGGTACAAAATGAATATTAAACCTGAAGAAAAAAACATTTTTTATTAATTTTTATTTTAGGAGACAGATTTACAAACATGGATTAAGCCTCTTCTATCTGCAAAATACGGAGCTATGTGTTTAAACCATCAATTGTAAACTTTAAGATAATTTTATTAGGTTAAAGATTGCACTTATTTTTAAATCAAGAAAGGAACTCATATCAACCAAAGATTGTCCTATGGCAGGTACAGACTGAATGGTTATTACTGGACTCCAAAATAAACTGAGAAAATAGCAAAACTGTGTAAAATGTACTAATCTCACTCACTGTTTGATGGTTACACTACCTGTAGTGCTAAGCCTGTAATCACAATATTGTCATTTGGACAAAAGATTAATCAAAACTATCTCATTATGTAACTACTACAACTATTCAGTAAGTTTGATTATCCTAGACTTAATCACTAAGACATTTATTTTCTGATTTTAGTAATAATTTTATAAATGTCACATTGTATTGTAGTTTGTTAAATGCACTGCTTTTAGCTTGCTTTCATCATATACTTGAGTTTTGTTCTAAAAGAAATGTTTTAATGTTTAAGGAGCTTATAGATAATCAAAAAGAAGATAGAAGACAGTACAGAAAGAATTCTGACATTTAAAAAGTTGAAAACACTAAAATCAACTTCCATCTGTTTTAAACCGGGTATCACAAACAAAGAATCACAATTCTGAGGTTAGACTACTGTTTCCATTAAGTTTATATTTCCCAATGAAAGCATATGAAAGGTGCTTTAGGGGTGTATGGGGTGGGGGGTTAAAAACAGGACACAATGTCTAGAAAAAAATCACTAGTACTTGACTATATTAGAATACATTTTTAAAATAATGTGCTGTAAAAAAATTATGTCTTATCTTTTACAGTGTGCCACAGCTCCATGGCAGATGTGCATTTATTTCAAGGCAATTCACAGGAGAAAAAAACGTGACATCTACATATAGTAAAATTACAATATTACAAATAACTTGTTATCAACAAATAGTGCCTATGAGGAGATTCCCTGTGCTCTTGTACATTTAACTCGAAAGCTAGGAAACTTCCTTTTAAAATATACCAGTGCCAATGTAAAAACAGTCCTACAGAACGTAAGTCCTCTGACTTATAGTCTATAGTCTACTTATCCTGATCACTGCCCTGAGCCATCATGAAGTCTCTAAGCTTTTAGATGTTGTGGTGGTGTGGAACGTAAGGGGCCTTAAAAAGTAGAAGCCCTCAGGGGCAAACTCCTAGGCAGATCTGGCCTACCTAAATCATACTTCTCACCACACCACCATCACCTCCGCACCCCCCCCCCCCCCCCCCCCCCCCCCCCCCCCCCCCCCCCCCGCATTCCCCTTTAGGCTGAGATGTTTTTTCTCCATTTGCTTCACTATTGAAGTTTTCCCAATGAGAGTAATTTGAATTCACAAGCTTTCCCTTTAAGTATGCAAATACCTTAGGGTGAGATAAGGGGCTACTGGTCTTTCACAGATGATTGTAAATTGGTTCAATGGGTTGCTTTCCTCCCAACACCTAGCCAGGCTAACAAATTTAGAGACTTAGCCATTCATTCAACTTCGAGTGCCTAAGAGGTTCCAGGATTGGTTCTAGGTACTGGAGATATAGTAGTGAACAAAACAGACAATATGTCCTGCCCTCGTAGAGTTTACAATCTAGTGGATTGGTAGTTTTGATTTGGTGATAAGAGAATGGTAATTTTAGAGTCTGAGCCGTGGAGGAATAGGACAGGCCTGAGTTCCTTGTAGCCAGAGGGCAGTGGAAAGGTACCAAGGACCTGGGAAGGAGGGCATTGAAGAATGGAGTGGGCCAAGCAGAAAGCAATTGAGAAAAATTCCAAAGAAAACATGACCTACTACAAAAAGGTTGTCTAGGCCCTAGGACATGAATAGAAGTAGTCTATTTGAAGAGCTCAGACTTAATACTGAATTCCACAGACAAATAAATATCTCTGGAAAAATAGCCCAGAATGTATCCACCTATAATACTTGGTGTGGGGGAGGTAATGTGCGCATCTAAAATAACTGAAAAAACACTCCAACTTCTCAAACACTTAAAAGTCAAGTCCTATCTATATTAAATGTTTCCAACTTTAAAATATTATGTAAATTACACTAATTCCAGTGTTGAGGGCATCCTTCAATACATTTTTGGAACTCATCTTTTGAAATTGTGTTCAGAACCAATTTGCAAGTACTGGAAAATAACTCTCTTTACCACCATATATTTTTCCCGCTCTAAAAACTATTATTCTTCTTCGTTCACCAAATTTACATCCAAATGACTTTGGCTAGCTCCAAACAATATATTTTGCCTCTAAATGATGAAGGTTTACTGCCATTGAAGATACATAAAAAATCAAAATATAGATATAGGGAGGAGTATAAATGCTGAAGAAAGCAGCAAAAAGAAAAGTCTAAAAAAATTTTTCTGCTTCACTGGGATAATGGCATAATCCTCCTCTGTAATTTTTCTTTTTTTTTTTTTTTTTTTTTTTGAGATGGAGTCTCGCTCTGTCGCCCAGGCTGGAGTGCAGTGGCGCAATCTCGGCTCACTGCAAGCTCCGTCTCCCGGGTTCACGTGATTCTCCTGCCTCAGCCTCCCAAGTAGCTGGGACCACAGGCACCTGCCACCACACCAGGATAATTTTTTTTTTTTTTATTCTTGTATTTTTAGAAGAGACGGGGTTTCACCATGTTAGCCAGAATGGTCTCCATCTCCTGACCTCATGATCCACCCATCTCGGCCTCCCAAAGTGCTAGGATTACAGGCGTGAGCCACCACGCCCGACCTGTAATTTTTTCATGAAGAAGCTGGCCAGGCGCGGTGGCTCATGCCTGTAATCCCAGCACTTCGGGAGCTGAACTGGGTGGATCACTTGAGGTCAGGAGTTTGAGACCAGCCTAGCCCACATGGTGAAAACCTACCTCACTAAAAACACAAAGAAGTTAGCTGGGTGTGGTGGCAGTTGCCTGTAATGCCAGCTACTCTAGAGGCTGAGGCAGGAGAATCACTTGAACTGGAAGGTGGAGGTTGCAGTGAGCCAAGATCACACCATTGCACTCCAGCCAGGGCAACAAGAGCAAAACTCTGTCTCAAAAAGTAGTAATAATAAATAAAAATAAGAAAGAAGCTAGTTGGATATGTAAGTGCTGCTGTATTTGTTAGAAAATTGGTCACTTACCTTTTCATTAAAAAGTTCTATTATGAGGCCAGACACAGTGGCTTACAACTGTAATCCCAGCACTCTGGGAGGCCAAGGCGGAAGGGTCGCTTGAGCTCAGGAGTTTGAGACCAGCCTGGGCAACATAGTGAGACCTCGCCTCTATAAAAAATTAAAAATTAGCTAAGTGTGGTGGCCCATTCCGGGTGTAGTCCCAGCTACCTGGGAAGTTGAGGCAAGAGGATCACCTGAACCCAGGAGGTTGAGTCTGCAGTGAGCCAAGATCACACCACTACACTCCAGCCTGGGTGACAGAGCGATACTCCATCTTAAAAAAAACAAAAAAGTCTATAATTTCATATAGTCTAAAATTATAGTTGCCTATGTGATGTTGCCTTTTCCTTATTAGTTGTACTGCTTTAAAGTTTCTATTTATTTCCTCTTGTGCTAATTGAAGTGTACCTGGCTTTGGTTCCTCTTAAAAAAAAAAAAAAAAAACAAAAAAACATTTCTTTGTTAGATTTCTGCTCCCAGGTTTTCAACATAGAGAGTATATGAGTATGAATCGATTCCATTATTTTTCAAAATATTTTCTTATACTATACTTGTAGTATCTTCCTGGACTATTTTATTTATTGGGTATATATGTTGTAAAACTTTTTAGTAATTGGCCCATAGTATAGTATCTTTTAATTAAGCAGATAGTATATTGATTGAAAAACTATTAGCTACAATTCCCATTTTATCTCTATTAGCCCAGAACACTGCTAGGAGCTTTTGCTGGCAATGGTCAAGGTTGGTAAGGTCAACATATCAGGTGAAAAGAAAACCACTATGGCTAGAACTTGGCCGTTGTTGGCTCCTAAACATAACATGTTCAGCT